GATTATAACCAACAGAGATGCATCTGCTCGGGGGTCTATTCCACCAAGTAACTCTAATGGGTAGCAGTTCGAAATAAATAAAAAAAATTGTATGGTAAAGTTCGAATTCCATTCGGGTTCGTTAAATTCACTTACGCGTAAATACTCTTAATGCTATGAATTCATCTCCTTTTCACCCCAGTTAATAGTTAAATAGTAAAACTTGTATCTGGAAACTCATTGCTAAACATGCTTAATCCAAATCTTTTCGGTTTTAAAAAACCCACAAATGTTGGTAAGCCGTAAAAAACAAAACAAACAAATCACTCTATCCACAAAGTAACGTTTCTTTCGAATAAAAACTTCCTTTGTCATTTTTGTCTTTCATATGTGTTCCGAGTGTAAAATAATCTGTTTCTGATTCGAAATATAAATGTTCTGTTTGCATTTTCCCTAAAACCTGATAGTTACGCTCAGTTCATGGGATCCTCACAATCCTTCTGTAGAACCAATTAAAAAATTCAGTAATCACGAATTTTTTAAATAAATATTTGAAACGTCCTGCAATAATCTAAGTCTTCTTAGAAGTTTTTGATTTTAATTTCAAGAAAATGCCAAAAATGTCGTACAAAAAATAAAATTTGCTGCAGGTTTTGAATCGATTGTAATATTAAATTTTGTTTCGACGATGGCGCCAGGAAATATGTCTGCCAAGAGAAAAATGTAAACGCCATAATTTCAAAAGCTACAAAACGAAAAAAAAAAATGTAGCCGTTACAGAAATGCAGAATTTGACAAAAATGATTTCATTTAAAAATAACTTACCTGGATTTTAAATAATTATCATGTTTGACTTAAAATATAGTTAAAATGTATTTGTTTACAGCGGGTATCAGATACCTGGCAACGAAATTCGAAGGGTACAGAATCTGATTTTGTAACCCATATGTTATGAAAGTTTACTTAAATTTGCAAGCGTTTCAGAGGACAGATAAAGTATGGATGACGAAAATGAGAAAACTATATAACTCACAAAGGCAACATTAAAAAAACTCATATGACGGATAAACACGCTATAATGAAAAAACGCAATTACAGTCTAATTGAAACCAGTACAGATATATTGATATTTATTTATTTATTTTGTAAGCAGAGATAAATCTTGTGCATTTATTGACCTCCCCGACTCCCTACATACACAAATGAGTACGCATGTCGATAGGCGTGTCTGTTTCTCTGGGAATATGTATCGATGCAAATTACTTTTCTTATCAAGTACCTACCTGAAAATACCCGAATACATCCAGTTAGGTAAGTGTAACAATTAGTTGAAAGCTTTCTCTTATAAATATTAAAAAATAGATCGATCATCTTTTACGCCAACGCGGGACTGAATGATAACGGCTCCTCCCCTTGGCTATGGCTGACTGCATTTAAGAGAAGTAAACGACAAATGCACAAATAACAAAATTAAGCAAATTGTTTTCTTTATCTCTTTAAGATTCATGTCCTTTTGAAGATATAGGTAGTCACGGCCTTCCTTTAAAAATAGTTCATTTAAAATTCGACAAAATATGAATTAAATTGAAAATGAAGAATATGCTAGGCAGTTTTCAAAATTAATATAAGTCGGGGCAATTTCCGTTGTATATTAACGCCATGGAACGGCGATTCGTTTCAAACTTTATCCCTCGTACGGATCAAAACAGTCTTTAGAACAGGAGTAGAGGTTTATCTCTTGTTTCCTGTTTAGCATTAGGTTTCCGGTTCCCTCTAACGTCTTTTATCTCTCTTTCACTTCCGGTGGCTCCTTGCGTCTTTGTGACATTATCACCTTGCTAAGAGTGGCTCCTTGCGTCTTTGTGACATTATCACCTTGCTAAGAGTGGCTCCTTGCGTCTTTGTGACATTATCACCTTGCTAAGAGTGCTCCCTTTGTGACATTATCACCTTGCTAAGAGTTCTCCCTTTGTGACATTATCACCTTGCTAAGAGTGCTCCCTTTGTGACATTATCACCTTGCTAAGAGTGGCTCCTTGCGTCTTTGTGACATTATCACCTTGCTAAGAGTGCTCCCTTTGTGACATTATCACCTTGCTAAGAGTGCTCCCTTTGTGATATTATCACCTTGCTAAGAGTGCTCCCTTTGTGACATTATCACCTTGCTAAGAGTGCTCCCTTTGTGACATTATCACCTTGCTAAGAGTGCTCCTTTGGACATTATCACCCTTGGCTCCGTCGTCTTTGTGACATTATCACCTTGCTAAGAGTGGCGCTTCTTACTCTGTAACACTCTACCCCGAGCAGCTCTTGAACCTTGTACATAGTGAACCTCATTATAAAACAAAACTCAAAGACTCGGCTTATTTGCTGATCTTAAGTTTACAAACAGTGCATTACTATAATTGTTTGTTTTTTGTTGTTGTTTGAAAAGTAAAGGGGTGGGGTTTCTTGCTGGCCTTACCACATTTAGGAATTACAATCTTCCTTTCTCGTGTTCGTAATTACCATTCTTTCCAGGTCCATCCTGACCCTGGGTGGTAGCACCTGTTAGGGTCCTATCCAGGGGCAAATAGAGAATCCCAAAACAAACAACTATGAAAGTATAAAATCTTTATAATATAAATACCAGCAATATATTTTTATGTAAAAATACTGACAATACATATTTATAGTAAAATAACCAATACAGTGAGCCCCCGATTATTCGCGTTTCAGCATTCGCGGCTTCACACATTCGCGGCTTTTCCTTTAGAACGTATGTACTTGTTATTCGCGGAAACCCTGAAAATTCGCGTGTTTTTCTGAAGAACATACGTACAAATTATTCACTGAAAACTCTCTCGGTTCGTGTATTTTTTCGATAGAACATATTTAAAATATTCTTGTATTATTTTCCTGTTATTTAAGTGACTTACAGCATATAACAGTCCATTTTGGTGGTAGAAATTGTCAGAATTGTACATCTTCATTGTAAAAAAAAACAAAAAAAGCAAAAAATATGCGTAGTCCTTGGGCTTTGTTCCTTGTTAGGGACTGGGCTCTTAAAAATAACTTATGCTAAGTCTGGGGGAGGCATCATCATAGTTCTGTTTTTAGAAAATGTTTTAAACTTTATATTTCATGTCTTGTTATTTTATACAGTATTTTCAATGGTTGTATCGATCTATGCGTAAATAAAAACGGTTATTATGCGTATGAAAAAAAATTTACGCTAAGTGTATTGTCATAAATGCTATTTTTCAAAAATGTTTTAAAAGAGTCTGAAATGTTTCTAAATTGTTTAGGATGAAATTTCAAGGCATATGGAGTTTTAACAATCAAAATAGGTATTTATAAGCACTTTTAGGGGGCGATTACAAGTATTCGCGGCCAGTTCTGGTCCCGAACCCCCCACGAATACAGGGGACTCACTGTAATGTATTTTATCTCTAGTTGAAAGCACACAATTACGTTCAAATTATATTTTATTAAAACCATAAATTTATTTAGATTTCGGCATTAAATAATCCATAAAGGTTGATATGCCGCTAAACAAAATCCACCAACTAAATACTTTCTCCTGTACAAAAATAAGTATTTATATTGTTAAATAAACGCTTTTTTTCTAAATAATTTCCCTGTGGGCCTATTGATGCGCAACATATTTAACGCAGATACACGTTAATAGCATTATTATTATTATTATTATTATTATCCTTTTCTTTTCTACAAATTCTCCCCAAAGAAAATCGATTCAGCCAAGTTTGAAATTTTCATTGAAAGGTTCTTACACTGCTCCACGTAGCCATACCACGATTTTCAATATCCTGTCTACATAGTACGCGTAGTGTTGCAGATATCGACACTGTAGATCAGTATACTTTGATCAAATTCCAGTTGAAGCTGTTGTATTGATTTTCGCATAAAAAAAAACCTTTGGTAAAAGTATGAATCCATTTTTTCTTTCCTTCCCCCAGCTATGGGTTAAGTAGCGGCGTAGACTGGGATCTCTATCTTTGGTTGGAAACCAGTCTGATCGAAAGATGACACATTTGGACATGTGGCTGGCAATTCCGCGCCATAACGTATTCACTTCCGACGGTAACCACAGCAGCAAGATATCTCATTTACACGGGGCTATATTGGAAATACTCGTAGCTCTTGAGAAATTCACATGGATAAAGAGCAGACAGTTTTAAAAAAATGGAATCGGCGAGCTTAGTTCAAGTTTCCTCCGAGACGGTTTCTGTCTATATTTTTGAGATGAGGTATTATTATGTACACTATTTACATTGCTTGGACTATCGTCCTTGTCTTTGTTAGCATATTTAAGAGAGGGGAATTAACAGGAGATAACTGTTAACTGACATCCATTAAAACATGGCACGTGGAACTAGAACAGTCTACCTCAGTGAGCTAAATAAAGGGTTCAGTTCGACATTCCAACCTCCTGAAGAAGGCCCGAGCGTACAAGGGCCAAAACGTTGTGATAAATATGGCAACAAAGATGAGGATAATAGTCCGAATAATGTAAATAGTGTGGTTCACTTTGATTCTCCAGAATCTATCTTACATATTTATATGTCAACCATTCATCTTTTCTTTGAATATTGCTGCCATATATAATTTAGTGTACCTGCTATATATTTAGAAATTCATGAAGAATCAGCAATGTTATTGATCTTAATCTGGCATCTCAGTTTCAGTCACTTTCCCACCATCATAATTTAGCTTCCCTGTTATGTTTTGTATAAATATTTTCCTAGCAATTGTTCGGATAAACTTTCTTCTATGGTACCTAGATTTTATGAATTTAAGTGCAGTATGAGATAGGCAACAAAGTCTCAGTAATTTACAATTGAATTGGCCAGATGCAACCGTAAATTCTATGATAAAGATGAGGACGATATTCCGAACAATGTAAATAGGGAGACAGTTTCTGGTCACTTTGCACTAATGCCCTTGAAAAAGGCATGGATACATATTCACTCCCCGTAGTTAGACAAGTCTATGCTATCTAATCTAATCTAGTAGAAACTATGGAGAGTGCAACAGAAAAACCTTTCTATTCTCTTTTCCTTTTGTCCTTTTCTTCTTTGCCCCATGCTCACGTTTCCGTCGCGTTCCTATATCTCAGACTCGCATCCTCGTCGTGTTCTCTCGTCCCAGACTCACATCCTCGTCGTGTTCTCATGTCCCATAATCACATCCTCGTCGTGTTCTCATGTCCCATACTCACATCCTCGTCATGTTCTCATGCCCCATAATCACATCCTGGTCGTGTTCTCATGTCCCAGACTCACATCCTCGTCGTGTTCTCATGTCCCATAATCACATCCTCGTCGTGTTCTCATGTCCCAGAATCACATCCTCGTCGTGTTCTCATGTCCCATACTCACATCTTCGTCATGTCCTCATGTCCCATAATCACATCTTCGTCGTGTTCTCATGTCCCATAATCACATCTTCGTCGTGTTCTCATGTCCCATAATCACATCCTCGTCGTGTTCTCATGTCCCATAATCACATCCTCGTCGTGTTCTCATGTCCCATAATCACATCCTCGTCGTGTTCTCATGTCCCATAATCACATCCTCGTCGTGTTCTCATGTCCCATAATCACATCTTCGTCGTGTTCTCATGTCCCAGACTCGCATCCTCGTCGTGTTCTCATGTCCCATCCTCACGTTCCAATGTTATAATGCTTAGTTTCTTCTACCATGATGTGAATATAAATATTCCAGACAGGCAAGAACAACAAATCGTTTGATAGATTTCACTCATTTTCCTCCATGTTGTCAGTCCTTTGATATCAGTCGCTTTCGTCAAGAATTTGCTTTTCCTACGTATTTCCTCATCTAAGTATTGAAATGGTTAAATGAGGAACTGGTTCTTCCAGTAGGATTTGACCCCATGTATATTCAAGTGTCGAAATATTAACTCATTATCAACTGAGGAAAAAAATATCAGTATTTCCATTGATTTTTGCAACAACGTTTTCTTCTCCTCCTCCTTGTTTCTGGAGTTAAAGTGCAGCAAGCAAATGTATTAAATCTTATCTTTCACAAGATTGAGACGACGATTATGTCATTAAGTTAAGCCAACAAATCTGCTTGTCGACATGATTTAGCTCTTCTGTTTGGTGTTCAGCCTTCATCTGACTTTCGCTTCAGTCCGTACTGATAAGATTTGATGATGTGCTGCCAAGTGAAAATTGTATTTATTCTTGAGTTGTATTAAATAAGAGGGAAATCTATGAAAGTATTGATGAAGAGTTTCCACCCAAAGAGTTGCGGTAAAAAGCAACAATAATAAGATGGATTATGGCTATTAAATAATAATAATAATGAAGAGTTTCTTTTTTCGCTTTTAGGCTTCTTCCAAAATATATAATTAAATAATTTAAATTAGACAAACATTAATAAAAATTAAAATACTACATTTCTTGGTCGACATGAAGACCATGCCTGGCTCTTTTCAAAATTGGTACGACTCGGTGCCATTTCTGCTGTATATTAACGCCATCGAATGGCAATTCCCAGTCTTTTGAACAGAGTTAGAAGTTTATCTCTGGTTTCCGGTTCCTTCTTAAGTACTTTCCTTCTCTTTCACTTCCTGTGACCCCTTGCTCTTGGTGACATTATCACTTTGCTTCAGTGCTGCCTCTTAATCTGTAATCATATACCTCAAGTGGCTCTTGGGCCTTGTATAGAGTGAACACAATTGTAAAAAAAAAAACTCAAAGGAGAGGCTGATTTACTGACCCAAAGTTTATTCTAAGATACCTCTGCTTTTCTAAACCTTGTGGGGTGGAGCTAAATTTTAGAAGGTTGTTTTTTTTTGTTTGTTTTTTGTGTGTGTGTATTCAAAATCTCGAAAATAGAGCGGAAATTCCTTGGATAATATGAGAAAAAAAACTTGGAAAACCTAACCCTCACGGGGCGTATTGAGGGCAGTTCCACCAGTCCAAACCTTCACGGCTAAGACGCGCCCTGCCCCGCACATTGTAGAGAACCACCCTGATTCCCTTTCTATTCCAGTAGTTAGATACAAGTTCCACTCGAGCAGTTTTTTCCCGCTAACTTGTGAAACCAACTCTCAAGTAAATGCTTCCCCGATCACTAGTCTTAACCTGTTCAAGTCTAGGTTTAACTGGTATCTTCCACACATATCCGCGTAAGCAGTACCTCTTACTTTATAACACTCTACCTCGAGTGGCCTTCAGGCCTTGTACAGGGTGAACATTATTACATAAAAAAGAGTAAGGTAAAGGAAGGTAGCGAGACACTTGCCTGCCAAGCTTGTGTGAATGGATATCAAATCGAGGGGAGGCAGCCTTAGCAAAAGGATAAAAGCACACGAGATAGGCAATTACAGCTTCCTATGTCCTATGAAGAGGTGGGGGCATAGAAGTTGACCCAATGTTTGTATAAAAAATCAATATTGATACAGGGTGGTACAAAAGTTTTGTCACCCCTACCTCTCTTGTAGGAGCTCGTGTCAGCCATCTGAAATATATAGAGAGGAAGATGACAGGACTTTCGGACCACCCTGTAAAGTAAAAATAGTAATTGGAATAATAAAGTGTCGATCTATTGTCCTCGTTTTTATTGCTATATTCACGACGTTTCGGCCGTTGTACGCTCCAGTCTACTTCAGGTGATATAACTTTATCCCCAAGGACTGATGTCCCAGTGGATAAAAGCATTGGATGAAGTTATCCAGTGACTTGACCCAAAGTGTTGTGAGTTCAATCCCTGGCCACAGCAGAGGTGAACAAAAACGTGGAGAGTTGAGTTACTAAAGGGAGATAACTGAAACTGGCATATCCAGAAAAAAAAAATGGCATGTGGAACTAGAACAATTTACTCCACCCCCCGGTGGACGAAATAAAGAGTTCAATTAGAAATTCTCACGTATATCGCCTGAAGAAGGCCGGAGTGTACAACGGCCGAAACGTCGTGAATATGACAATGAAGATCGGGACAACAGTCCAAACAATGTAAATAGTGTAAATAGTTACAATACCTCATCTCAGAAATATAACCAGATAAGAAATATAGACGCAAAACTTAATGCGTCTTCCTCGAAGCTGTCAAATGTTTCAACAAAGTCTAATAGTAGTCTCACTAATTAAAATGGTATTTTATAAAGATTTTTTTTTAAATTCTGGAAGGAAACATTAAAAAAAAACTTGTTTGCTAACACTGCAAATGGACATGACATTTTTGATATCAAATAACATTACGTTGGTTGGTTGATTTTGTTTAGAAGCATATCAACACCTCTATGGGTTATTTAATTCCGAAATCTAAATAATTTGAACACAATGTTATGGTTTCAACTAAATATATTTTGTACGCAATTGTATGCCTTCAACGATAGATAAATTGTATTGTTGGTCATTTTGCTATAAATAAGGCATTGTTAGTCAGTTTTTTTATGTACAAAAAAAGTATTGCTGGTAATTTTACTATAAAAATGTATTTTTATACATTCATAGTGTTTTGTCTTTGTTTAGGAGGGGGGGTCACTATTTGCCCATAGCTGGGATCCTTGGGATCAAACAAAAAAAAAAAAAAGTGCACGTGATCCATATAACAATTCCTTTCAATGGCAAAGTGTTTATGGATTCTCCTCCTTGCCCAGTCTACCTTTATTGTTACAAAACCTGAGTGATTTTTTTACGGTTTATCAACCCTTTGTGAGTTATTTAAGGCCGAAACATATTTTGGATTGTAAGAATAATACTTTTTTTGTGCAAGCCAATATTGTATAACAATTTTTTGAGAATAGCAATGATATTTCCAGATCCAATTTTAACCATAGTTTGCGGAGGTGGTGTACTCGTACATTTGCCATGGCTTTGAACATAACGAACCCATTTGGAATTCGAAATCGGTTCTCAGATCCGATCCGTTATCCATTACACCGCCCGTACGTCCGCTTTGCCTGTATGAATTTGTTGCATTTATTCCGATGTTTAATATGACTTAGCTCTGAATCGTCCGAGTGAACTATTTCACTTTGTTTTACTTTGTTGTTATTGGATGTTTCCGTGTCGTCATCTATCTATCTATCTACCTATCTATCTATCTATCTATCTATCTATCTATCTATCTATCTATGTCTGTTTTTATCTATCTATCTATCTATCTATCTATCTATCTATGTCTGTTTTTTTTATCTATCTATCTATGTCTGTTTTTTTTATCTATCTATCTATGTCTGTTTTTTTTTATCTATGTCTGTTTTTTTATCCATCTATCTATCTATGTCTGTTTTTTTATCTATCTATGTCTGTTTTTTTTATCTATCTATCTATCTAGCTCTGGTTTTTATTCATCTATCTATCTATCTAGATCTGTTTATTATCTATCCATTTATCTATCTGTTCATCATATGTCCGTCTGCTCATCATCTATCTGTCCCCTATCTATTCATTATCTATCTGTTTCTAATCCATCTGCCCGTTCATTATCTATCTATCTATCTATCTATCTATCTATCCAATTCTGTGACTTTCGTCCGTCCGTCGCACCCTCTAAATTAAAATAGCCATATATTGACCGATGGAAACCAAATTTTGAGGAGAAGTGCGAACAGTGAAATGTACAGTTGGTTTTTCTAGGGTGTGCAGCTTCGTACAACAAATGTTCATTATATTTTTGGAATATAAAATAAAAGTTATATTCTTTAATATACAAAATATTCCCACTATTTTAAAAACAGAAAATCTTCTAATAATGCAAGTTGATGCTGAGCTAGTTATAATAATCTCATAATCCCCCAATTCCAAAACCGGGGCTGGGGCCCAGGATCCTCATTATCACTTGATGAAGATAGTGTCGAGAACAGTTGCTGTCCATGCATTTCTACATGTAATGAATAAATAAAATTCGAGCGCTAGAAAAATGATGTATCCTGTGTATGACGAGGAATGAATCAAAGGCTTTATTGTCTGTTCGTGATTTTCTTGACTGTGAAACACATCTTGGCTTCTTAGTTCTTCCCCGCCAACTATTCTCTCTTTGACACATTTTGGAGAAAAAGCTGAAGCATGTCGCAATCTTGCATTTGAGAAACCGTATCAAATGACAAGATAGAAAAAAAAAATGTTAAGCAAACCACAAGATTTCTTTTCTGATACGAGATGATTTCTTTTTTTCTCACGGCTATATCACGTTGAAATACCGGTTCTCGTACGATCACTGCAGTTAAACAACGTCATTCCTGGCCAGTACTTATATGGGTGACCGCTTGTGAATACCAGGTGCTGTCAGTTTGCGGCTGGTATAATAGATAACGACACAGAATATGAAATCAGAGAACAGAGTTCGAATTCCAGTTGGGTTTGTTGTATTCACTTACACGTAAATACCTTTGGGAAAGGCATGAATCCACTTACCTCTCCAGCTAGGGGTTAATTAATAAAACTTGTACCAATAAAAATCACTATTATTTCCAAAGAATTCTTACAGTTTAAAAATATTTTCTGGTTTTAAATGAGCTGCAATGGTTTGATAAGCCGTATGATACAAATCAATCATTTTTTTTCAGCATCATGGTTTAGGATATGAAAAAACCTTAACTAAAAACATTAAGTTTTATTTGAAAATACTTGTTTAATTTCTACTTCATATTGTAAAAAAGATACAAATGATTCCTTCGAATTTGTGAACGGTAACTTGAAATTAAAATTAAATTTAAAACTTTTGTTACAAAAGAAAAAAACGAAATTCTGTTTGACGATTTTTTGGAAAATCCTAGTTAATAAAATGATGTTGCGACATGTTTGTTTATTTAACGGCATATCAACTCCTTATGGATCATTTTATGCCGAAATTTGATATTCTTGGGTGCTTTCAAGTAATAAAAATGTTATTCTGCTTTCACAATTGAATACATGGTAGATGATACTCTGCTTTTTTTTGCATGCTTGTGTACTTAATTATTACAGGCAGTGATATGTATGTTTTACGTTGTAGTTTTGTTTTAGTTATATTTTGGAATACAGTTTGATTCCTTTAATCATTAAGGACATTATATGGATTTGCGTCCTGAAAGAGTTATTTCTTGTTGATTGATTGACTGATTTTGTTTAGCGGCCTATCAACCTCCAGGGGTTATTTAATGCCGAAATCTAAATATTTTGAAGACAATTTTATGGTTTCAACTAAATATATTTTGAACGTAGTTGTATGCTTTCAACTACAGATAAAATATATTGTTGATCATTTTATTATAAATATGAAATGTTGATAAATTTCTTTAATATAAAAATATATTGCTGGTATTTTTACTATAAAAATGTATTTTTATACTTTGATAGTGTTTTGTCTGTGTTTTGGGGGGTTCGCTATTTACCCATAGCTGGGACCCGAACAAGTGCTACCACCCCGCGTCAGTGTGTATTTGGGAACAACATCAATTAAGAGATGGTTTCACGCTCCTAAATTTTTTTCTGAGCAGAGGCTTAATTGCCGAATGAAGTTTATCGACATATCCAGAACTAACGCTTCAACAGCGTTTCAGTAATACTAGAAATCCGTTGCTATATAGTGTTACTTTAATAGAAACTGAATAATAAATCACAGGAAAATATTAGAACGTGAATTCCTAATATAGGAAAATAAATTTTTAAATTGACTCGTGCGAAATTTTCAAGCTACAGCACTTCGCTATATTACCATAACGATATGACAACGTTGCGAATGAGTAAGTTTGAAGTCGGAAAAATAATCGCAACATGACAGTGTCACATATCCCAAAACAAAACACGTTTGCAACGTTGCATGAACATCCCGAGTCAGCTGAGATATAAGCATATCAGTGTCTCATCCAAACGGCAATAAAGCAGCCGAAAACACTCCTAAGCCTAGAAAAATTGCTCCAAAACACAACCAATCCCATCATCTTCTATGAAAAAACACTAGCTATCACTGACAGTTACCCAAAGCCTCTTCCTGTCTGCACCGATGGATAAAACAAATGGTATAAACTGGGATAATCAACCATGCAGAACAAAATGAAAGTACTGAAGCAACCTCTGAACAGTAGCTCTATATTCAGCGTAGATGTGGCGGCCATAGATTTCGCTTTTGGCATCATAACAACAAGAAGACAAAACATTTATATATACAGACTCCGTCAGAACTCACGGTACTTAAAAACAAAAAAAAATGATAAACCCACTAATTATAAAACTTCTAAACCGAATAGTTGTCAGTATATAATAATATCATCTGCTAGATACCTATCTATATCGGCGTCAAGGGCAATGATAGGTCAGTCAAAAAAAAATCAACCTCCAAAGATTTATTAGATAGTTCAAACATCAAGATCCCTTACACAGAACTCAGCTCAACCATTAACACATTTATCAAAGAAAAATAGCAGAAACTATGGACCAGCTGCCCCCAAAACAAAATTATACAAACATGAAACTTACGATTGAAGAATGGCATCAAAAACTAAACTAACAAGGAAAGATAATAATGTCGACTTCATATTGAACACTCAACAATAAAACACTATTTTATTATAAAACAAAAACCGCCTCCAATCTGTACGGCTTGTCAAAACCTATACCCAATAAAACACATGCTATCAAATTGTAGCGACTTAACCTAAATCTGTTTAAAAGATTACCAAACAACCAATATGAAAGAACTTTTTCATAATATTAATTCATATATCCGGCAATTTCGTAAGAAAAACAAACTGCATTCGAAAATATAACTTCAACAAAATTACAACATAAAATCCATATATCCCTAGTAATCATGTCTCTACAAACATGTATACAGACAAAAGCTGAGTATTATCTACCATGTATTAGACTGTGAAAGCAGAACAACATATACCATATTTTTCTTACTTCAAAAAAACTAAATGTTGGCATTAAATAACTCATAAGGTTTTGATATGCCGTTAAACAGACAAATCAATCAAAATAGCAAATAAAAGCTAAAAATGCATGTATTAACAATAAGACGCACCCAATTGACCCAATACAGTCTTTATGTTCAATCCCTGTGCCTTGTGCCACACTCGGGGATCTAAACACCTTGTTGTAGCGAAATGGTTAGCAAGCTAGTCATACAAACAATTACTCCTGCAATTAATTTAAAGTGAGTGCGCGTGGCAGGTCACGTATAGAATTACCCCTACGGTATTTAGTTGCTTGATATATTGATATTTTAGTAGCGCGTGGTGGTAGACTGGAAAAGGTCAGTTCTGTTTGCGGTTGAAACGCATTTTGATTTCTCTCGGTGGTGGTTGACGGCTGCTACACTAACTGAAGGAGGAGGTTGGCAATAACGAACAACCGACGAGTAGAGATGAAAATGAGTTTTATTCACCTCTTGATATTGGCCCACTTGACTAACTATTATCGTCCAATATCCTCGCACCACAGTTATGGTCCAAGGTTAGAACAAAGGAAGAACAACACGAACACAAGAGTAGAATAACAAAGATATATTACAACAGAAATATAGTACAAGAAGTTGAAGTTGTTAGTAATGACTGTCCGTCTGGTTTAGAGTGAACTAATATTGTCTCGACTCATTACACCATTCATTGTATTTAATATCCCACCCACGAGGAATATATGTGGCACGAGGCTGAGATTAAAGTGGGTTTCTCCGGACCCATAGGCTCGGGCAAAAATAAACCCTTTGAACCCGTCTAGACGGGTTAAGGGCCTATCTACCTCCCCGGACGAAACCTTGCCCTTCGGCAAAGCTTCGTCCGGGTTCCTCTCTGCCAAAGCAGAGAGTTCAACAGTCATGACCTGGTGCTCGTTACACCATTCATTCGGTATCTAGTCCCCCCCCCACGAGGGTTGCATGTGGCACAAGGCCGAGTTTAACGTGGTTTTCCCGAGCCCGTAGGCTAGGCCAAAAATATACCCTTTGAACCCGCCTAGACGGGTTCAGGGCCTGTCTACCTCCCCGGACGAAACCTTGCCCTTCGGCAAAGCCTCGTCAGGGTTCCTCTCTGCCAAAGCAGAGAGTTCAACAGTCATGAACTGGTGCTGGTTGCACCATTCATTCATTATACCTCTTGAGAGGCGCAGTATTTATAGTGTCAGGAAGAGTCAATTATCGTTATAGTTAAGTTCCCATAACACTAACATACGTGCTGCCCAGCGCAAAGAAGGTAATCATCTCCTGAACATAAACCCGGGATCAGACTTCTTCTTCATGTGCCGTGATCCCTCAGGACGTATTGCTTGTCATTTGTCGCTCTTAATAAATTTTGCCATCCATTTAGTCAAGCTCACTAAGTATATTATGCACTGCTTTCCTCTATCCCTCTTGCCTTCAATCTGTCTTGTGAGTATCAGATTTTCCAAGCCTTTCTTCCTCATTATGTGTCACTGAAATCTCAGCTATCTCTTCCTGATATCTGTTTCCTTTTTGTTTCCATTTTCTCGAGATGTTTGTCGTTTATCACATATTCGGCACATGGTATCTTCAGAAGCTTTCTCTAGAACCACATTTCTGTTGCTTCCAGTCTCTTCTTCATCTTTGAGGATATAGTCGCGCATTCACTGCCATACAAGAGGGCAGATATTGCATAACAGTTCAGTACTCCTTTCTTTGTTTCTAAAGTTTTCCTGTTTCTTAGTAAAGTGCTGGGCTTTTGGAAGGAATCTTCTGACAGACTATCAAGCTAAATTCGTAGAGTCCAAAGTGAGGTCTTTTATTGTGGACGCACGTAACTAGTAGCCCGTAATGTTTAAAGTAATATTACCCGTTTCCTTATACGGAAACTTTCGGCATTCTTTGACCAAATAGCCACTGCTACTGTGGGTTGAAATCTATAAAGATCTTTCTCAGTAAAGTAGGTTCCTCAAGTTCACCATTATCCCTCTTTCCAGTATTGGTGGAATCTTTCTTCGTGAACTTTTGCTCAAAGTTGGTTAGTTGTTTTTGTTTAGAAGCATGTCAATACTTCTATGGGTCATTTAATGCCAAAATCTAAACATCTTGAATACAATTTTATAGCTTCAATTAAGTGTATTTTGAACGCAATTATATGCCTTCAACTCCAGATAAAAGGTATTGTTGTACATTTTGCTATAAATAGGTATTGTTAGTTGACTGAATTTGTTTTGCAGCATATCAACCTCTATGGTTTATTTAATGCTGAAATCTAAATACTTTGTACGTAATTTTATGCTTTTAACTACAGATATTTTGTACGTTATTTTTTACTTTCACGTTAAATGTATGTTTTTGCAGATATATAGTTTATAGATCATTAAATGTT